CCCATATACAGCTACTCACAGGCGTTCCTCCAATCTCATGCCCCCCCGCATCACCTCTCGCCCTTTTCCTCTCGCTATTCTCAACCACCCCGGCTTGAGCGAGGCTGGCTGGTTCCGCTCGGTGGTCTCGTCACGCGGTCGAAGACGTCACATTGCTCTTCCAAAAGAGGGCGAAGAGCGACATCGAGCTAAGACCCAGGGACTCGCAGGTCCAAAACCTGTGCGAATCCGGCAAAAAGCAAGCAGCTGCGGCTTCGAAGAGCATGGAGTGGAGGAACTCGACGCGTGGCTGGTGGTTGTTTGGACCAGCCGTTGTCGGTTGAGTTGCAGGGTTGTGCAAAATTCCGTTATTGGCTAGACCAAAGTTGTGCCCCAAACCCGAAGAATGGCTGCTGATAGGCGTTGACAGGCTTCACAATCAGCAGTTTTATGTGGAACTATCGAAGCTCCTTCAACACACCCACTATTCACGATTAGTGGATGGAGAAGCAATCCACACTGCAAGTACCCCTTGAAATCACACCTATACTCAGAAAACATGTCAAAGAACCAACCCCAAATACCCCAAAGCACCAATCAATCTCAGGGCCACATACCCAGCGCACAAAACAGTAGAACAAATCGTCAAAGCCCAAGGCACAAGAAAGGCATGTTCGTACCAAGCCTTGGCCGGTCGCTTTGCAAGGTCGCAGGTCGCTTTGTTCAACGCGGTGAAGAGTCCTTGTCGATCTCTACAGACAACAGTCACGTAGCCTGGTCCCTACAAACAGCAGCCCGACAGAACGGAAGACTTCGAGACCAGGGTTTTAGCGCATGAGACGAGGAAGAAGGAGATCCGACTGCTACGACCACTCCTGTTGCTGAGCAGCGATGAACGAGAACTCGTCTGCATCAACACTGCTTGTCGACTGGTGCATCTGAGAGGAACTGAGAGGAACATCAGCTATCTACCTGCTTGACCAGTCGCGCGATGAGATGCTTGACCAGTTGGACCACTGGCACATGTACATGCTTGTCTTGCTGGCCCAAGCAACCAATTGGTGAACAGGCAAGTGACCCCAGTGACGATCACTCCTTGGCTGTGGCGTGTTTAGAGCACAAACAGAAAACGTGCTCCTTTTGGTCTCCGCTGGTCGACACGCCCCGAAAGGAAGAATTCGACCGCTTTTGGTCGCCTTTTCCAACAGTTTGGAGTCAAAGAACCATCGGTCCGTCGGTCGATGGTGAGTGAAACTTCACGACTTTAAAGTAGAGTCGAGAAACAAACCAATCTTCCTTTGACAACCTGGTCCAAACTCACGACGACGGTCTGTTCAGTCTGTTCTCCCTGTCCTCCCCCTGTCCGCCCACGACCGATGTGCCAGCGCGACAACGGCCCGCCGAAGCATCAGCACACCTGGTCACCTTCAGCTTGGGTTCACCCGAAGCATCTAACATAGGAGACCCTTAGAGCCACGGCCATGCGGGCCAAGCCTTAGAAAAGTCCGAACTCGCTCCGCTCGTAGCGAGGCGTTCGGAGCCCCGAAACAAAGGCGGATGACACTTTTTGGACCAAGCTTCCCAGTAAACCGATGTTGGCACCATAGGCACAGATCCGGCAGAGCCTCTGCCTCCACGGCTCCAAATGATCCAATTGCCCGAGCATCACTGTCATGTGGGCAATGCCGGCTTGGCAAAAGATGGAGACCACAAAAGAGTGCGTACCTTTCAATGGTCCAACAAAAAAGCAAGAAAACAAGCTGCTCTTCGGTTGGAGGCCATCGCTATTAGGTTGGAGGCCAAAACACGGGGCTCTTGATTCCTGGAGGGAATTGTTCAAGGCTAATGCGGAATTGGTTCTGCAGGAGTGTCCTGTCCAGGATGTTGTGTCAGCTTGTTGGGTTCAAACATGCAGAGCCTTTTTTCTTTTGAGTGCTTTCAATGTATGAGCCAAACCCATCCACAGCCCTTGGCTAGAAGATCAGGATCCCCACAGCACAGTGGCAGAAGCCACAAAAATCCAACGTTCCGTTCCCACTGAAGAGCCGAAGAACAACAAGAACTGGTCGGGTGAAGAGGGTTCCCATGGTGGTCCGCATGGCTGGAAAAACTGCGACCTCTCAACAGTCTTTTTGACGTGTAACAAGAGACTTTGAGGAACCTAATAGCGATGGCCTCCCCCTAGTAGCCATGGCCTCCTACCTAAATCGCCTAAATCGCAATGGCCTCCAACCGAAAAGGTAACTTCGGAGAAAATCTTTCGTTTGCCTTGCGTGCCTTACCGCTTTTCAGACTTCCGGAAAACATGGCTTTCAAATAATGCCATTTTCGCTGTGTTTGCCCCCCCTTATCTTCTCTCAACGGCCTTTGTCTAATTTTACGCCGTGATGTCAAATGCACTCTGTTTGCCATCCAGAACGCATGACCAACAACCTCCATGCAATGAACCGTCCATCCGCGGATGCGAGTGACAAAAGCCGCGTGTCACGGGGTTCATCAAGAAGAGGCCGAAGAAGACCCTTAGAGAATGACGGCATCGGAGAGCAAACGCTGGGTCTCGAGGCATCGACGAGCGGAGAGCTCGGTGATCGATCACACTCCTCACGATGCCGTGCGACGGCCATCGGCATGCGGCAACTGAAATGTCCCATGGCAGTCTGCAGACACAAAGCATTTTGAGGAGGGGAACCATTCTGTCACGAGTTGTAGAGAAGGGGGTGAGATGCCAAATGATGCCAATCAATTTCATCCACCAACTTCTTTATGATTCTTTATGTATCTTGATGCATTCCCTGCAACAATGGACTCGATCGCTCAACGAACCCCCCAAAAAATCACCGGCCTTCCAATCAGCCTTAAAAGACTGGTAGGCCTGTGCCGGCCCCTCCATCCCGGCCCCTCATCCCTTCTCATCCGAAGCTCTCAAAAACCATGAGCGATACATAGGCCGCCCAGCTATTCACCCACCGGCTGGGAAGGAACAAGTGCATACCTTGGAGCGGGCCACCCACGCCACGCGGGGCTCGCGAAGCGACGCTGCTCACAAGGAGCCATTGCGGACGTTGATCTAGGAAGGCTTTGAAGTTGACTTGCTTAACAGGATGTTCACACATCTTCGCAGATCTTTAGAACGATTTCTTACTTGCTGGTCGTTCTGAACACTCTTAGGACCTTGCCCAATTCATCTTTTCTGTGGGGTTTGCACAGGTTCTTGGTTGTGCAATAGCAGCCTGCCAGCAGCCCCTGCACGTTACTTATGTGAGGACGCAGGTGACTTGACCCGTCTCTAACCTTCTCCACCCTCCCTACTGCTTAAACCTTTTAACCTCCAACCTAAGAGCAATGCCCTCCACCCTAATAGCTTTTCCAGGTCCAAAGAAAGGGGGTCCGTATTCCGACACATTCCACCCGGTTCCATCCCCTCAATCGGTGGGGCATGGCCAGAAGTTCACAGTGCCCATTCCGCCCGTCGCCTGGATCGAATGGCGCGTGGCATGTGCAGGGGCGCCTGTGCTCCCGCAGGGCAGTTCACTGGCCCAGGGTGCCCTCAGGTTGTGAAACCTGATGAAATCACACGCATGATTCATGATAACTTGAAAAACACACACATGAAAACATCAGAAACAAATCCCAATCTCAATAGAACACATATGTTCCATGAGTTTCCCCTATGAACCGCCCCCCTGGAAACTCGTGGAGTGGAGCCTCCAGGTAGACCATGGATCTTGGACCGATTCACGACCGATTTAACAGCGACCCGTTTTGGAAGCCAGCGATGCCACCGTGGCTGGCTCTTTTCCAACCAAAGAAAGGAGCAAAACAGCTACTAGTAACAAGGTGCATCGCTACGAGTATAGCAAGGATGCTACTAGCGATGTCCTTGTTACCAATAGCGATGCCCTTGTTACTAGTCAAGAACACTGAGCAAAAGGATGTCAAAGGGCACGCGAGAAGAAAGGCCCCAATTACTTTTAATATAGAGGCCATCGCTAGTAGGTTGAGAAGAAAAACATCGATTGTAACGAAGCCGCAAAGCTCAACGCGCCTGGGCGTTGGCGATGTAGTCCGAGACGCTGACGCCGCTCTCCACCCAGACGTGGAGATGGAGGAACTCCAAGATCTTCCGGAGCCAGGCCTGAGACACGGGGCAACAGTGAAGAATTCTGCTTTAGCAACCGCGTGTCCGTGGCGAAGCAACTCGAACATTCACCGTAACTGTCTTCTTTTTTGTGCTTTTTCTTCATGGTTTGGAGCTATACTAGTAACAAAGGGCATCGCTACGAACGGAGCAAGAAGCTACTAGTAGCTCCTGGCATTACTACAAATAGCTAGGAGGCTAGGAGTTACTAGTAACAAAGGGTGCTTCTTCAGGTCGAGTTCGAACAAATCGACCTCTCGGTTTCGCAGGATTCATTACTAGTATAATACTATATAGCTTCTTGCTACTAGTAGCAAGGGCCTCCAGCCTAATAGCGCTGGCCTCCAGCTAGTAGCTTCTTGTTCCGAGCACCAAATAGATGGAGCTGAAGTGACCCCCCAAAAGCTGCCTGAGACATCCTCTCGGTTGCAACCGCCCAAGTTACATAGACAAGATACCTTTCCGCCAAGAGGCCCACTCGACGTAGTAGATGCAGTGGGGATATGCATAGACTTCTCCTTGGTTTGGGGGAAAACAACCCAGACCCCGTCTCTTTTGACCCAGGACAAACCCCCTTAGAGGAACCGCCTTTTAGAACGAACCCCCTCCAGGCCTCCTTCTGTCCTGGTTCTGTCTTGGGAAAGTTCTGTCGACCGAACCTCCTGGAGAGTGCGCACCGATACCTCGAAGGCCGGAGACCTCCACCTCGACCTGCCGTCTGCCTGCGGAGACGAGACGACGAGAGTCACGAGTCTGTAAGAATCGCTGAGTCTCCATCGTGGGTCTGAGTCACGCAGGTGTGAGCCCAAGAGGCCTGTTGCAACAGTGGCAAAATCCAAGGGTAGATGGCAGCAGTCACACTCCTCACAGATCGGATTGACATCACGGCGTCACGGCGTCGCGTGGCAGGTGTTGGGAACGAGGAACGAGGTGTTGAGATGTCTGAACTCCACGAGATGTCGGATCCCAAACAATGGATTTTCATCGATCTTGAAAAGAGATCCGTTTGTGTCCACTCTCTACGTCCTTTTGCGGGAGTGTGTTGCTCCTCCGTGCCTGCCCCACTTTAGCTACCACGGTTGGAGCAACCTCAACCGCTGGTCGGCAGGTGTCTTGTCAGCTGCCGTTGAAGTCATCTTCCCTTTGGAAGTTTTCTTCTCTTTCACTTCTGCGTCAAGGGAAGCAGCCGCATCCAGGAGGTCCCGAAGCACTAGAAAGTTCATCTGCTCGAAGTTTACCTCCATTCGGTTTTCCATGTTGAACTTTTCGTATTTTCCTTTCGAGAGGTCATCCGAGGCTTCGTTTTGCTCTCGAGGGATCCATGCCAAGTCCAGATCCAGCGAGTACTTGTCCAGTTGCTTGGACAGTTCCATGAGCACCAAGGATGCTGGAAATTTGGTCGTTAGGAACCGATCAATCAGGTAGGCATTGGAGAGGTTGTCGGTGAAACCCGTGACCGAGACTCTTCCTGAGCCTTTTCTCCAGGCCGACTCCGGGCCGAAAACCATTATGGCCACCGTGACCGCCAAGAGCTCCGATGAGGAGATGGTTCTAAAGGGTTCCCCCTTGATGTAGAGGAATGGTGCGTTTCGTCGTGTCAACCTGACATGGAACCACCTGGCCGTCCTAGGATCTGCCGACTGAAACGTTTCCCAGCCACCAATAGCCACCCCGTCTACATCGGCCATGGCATCAACCCGAAAGATCTCGCCCAAGACAAGCGGGGGATCACTCAACGCTTTCATGGGCTCCGAGGTGATCGCGCCCTCGAAAAACTTTATGGCCAGCTTCACCGCTAAGTGGAGGTCGAGGTAGCTACCTCCTCGTACCTGGGCTGAGGAGGCACAGAGGGGCGCCAGAAAGGGCCTCGATCTCTTAGAGATGCCCGCGAGGAAACCCAGGCGTCCTAGTCCGGCTTTGAACTCACGGCCCAACATTCGGCCTTGTGACAGGGCCAACTTCGCCCAGGACTTCAACCACTCTACCTTCTTTTCACTCACACCAATCTGCCAGGTGTGTATGTCCACCGTGTACCCTATCCACTCGATCTTCGAGCCTCGCCGGGTCTTCGCCCATGACAACGGGATCTCCAAGAGCTCCAGGAACATGAACAAGCCCAGAATGCTGCGATGATACTGCTCGCCACTGCTCAAAATCAGCCCGTCATCGGCGAACAGCAGCAAACAGAAGGCCGCTCGGGGATCAAGAATACGGTGGAAGACTCTAAAGGCAACTCCGGCCACTCGACCCCACCAAAAAGCGGCAGAGGCCACCCCAAACGTGCCTCTGGTGTTCAGCAGAACTTCTTCTTCATCGTCGAGTCTGCAGGCTTGTAATCCCCAGTCCCTCGGATGCACAGGAACCAGCCTATGTGCCGCTTTGATGTCAAAGGCCATCATCAGCTTTGTGGGACCTGCATGGTTCTTGAACTCCTTCACCATTGCTTCCAAGTCGTCGAATTGGGGAAAGCCCATCTGGTTGGGCTGCTCCACATGCGTGTTCACCCGCAGACCATGCGTGGCGTCATGCACCACCCTCACGTCGGACCATTCTTTGTCCTTGCAAACCGCCCCCAAGGAAGCCACCTCCAATTCCTCCCCAAAACGGTCCACCGCCTCCTGTCTGGTCATCCTGACCATCGAACCCTTCCGGATGTCCTCCTCCACATGCTCCTTTTCACCTTAGTCATATGATCTTTGGCCGAGGCGTAGTTGTCCCGCAGCACAGGGTCCACCCCGGAATCCTCCTCCCACATGACCGGCGCCGAATCATTGCCCTTCTTCTCATAGACGGCCTGAACCCAAGGAACTTCTCCACGGACGCCAAGAGGGACGCCAGTCGAAGCAACATCCGCCAGGAAGTGGGAGTCCGCGTCCTCTACCAACAGCGCCCACGCTTGTAGATGGTGGTAGGAAATCTCCGTTTGCACGTCCCCTTCTCTTCTCTTCGGCTTGAAACCGGCTGCCTCCGGCAGCCTATCCGTCTCCTTCAACCCCGCACCTCGTCCGAGAAAGGGGACTTGGAGTGCCTGCCCAGGGCTAACTCCGAGATCAGCTTGAGCCTGCCTTTCTTGCCCAGCCTGCCCAAGAAACCGTCCACCTCCTCCCAAAAGACCTGAGCTATCATCTGGGCGTCATCGCTGAGCCTGACTCCTCTGTGGCCAACTGCCATCCACCATCCGGCGGGCCTTCCCCTTGTACCAAAGTTGAAGCGGAGTCCAACTGGAAGCGCTGGACGGCAATGGCAACTTCTTTCTCCTCTTTGCTTCATGCGCTGCAGGAGGTTGGCACCCCCCCTTTTCTTTCCCTTGCCCTTCACGGTGAACTGATTCATCACCTGCACGATCCTGAGGTTGTTGAGGGCACCCATGAGAAACTCCCGGACTCATCTGCTCCTGTTGCCCATGAGGAGGTCCTGAATGCTGGGTTTTCTGATCCCCTTTTTCTGCTTGTACGTCCTGACGGCCTCCACCCCGATCTCCTTCCCCTTCTTCTTGGCTTGCTGAGACCTGTCTTTCAGGCGGTTGGTTTGGCCCCCTCTTCAGAAGAGCCTGGAAGATATGTGAAGCCAGCCAGTGGTCCATTGCGGGTGGATATGCCGCTGCTGCTGCGGTTGCGAATCCTTCGCCTGGTCGTCGTTTGATGAGCCCTTCGTGAGGGTGATTGCACCCGCAGGAGTGGGGCAAGGGCCCAATGTATTGTGCTTGCAGGTTGAGCTGAGGCAGACCTGACCAAACCTGGGTTTGAAGGGAAGGAATATTGAAGAGGAGCCTGGTAGGTTTAGGCGGCCCCACCGTTGTGAGGCACCCAAGTCTTCAGGGTGCTCGAGGATGAAGTAGACGTTGTGAGACAAACAAATAGTGATGACCTGTAGACAAAGCTGGATCATCAGGTTGGAAGCTTCCACTTTGCGGAGCTTGTCGCCCTCTAGCCATGGGTACCGCCAGGGGTGAGCCGAGCTGCGAAGTGGGCGTGGGCCTAGTGAGTTCGCCCACGGTGCCCTTGACCATGTGGCACAAGGAGGGCTCATAACCACTGCCTGGAAAAAATGGCTTCGCAGCTTATCCAGGAGCTCTCGTTGCAACTGCTCTTGTAGAAGATCATGAGAGGGATCCCGCGCAATATCCAATGCATGCACTCTGATGTTGACCTGCTCGGCTGAGGCCTGGGCAAACCGTTGAAGAACCTTCGGATTCTCGGTTCCCGAACAAGACCCAGATCCGGGCCGTGCCACGAAGTCCAGACCGTGTAGCTGACCAGGCGAAGCAGCTCTCAGCGCAACTGAACCAGTCCTTGCAGGGCCCGGGCGCGTGCGGCCCTTGGTAGCCGCGAGTTGTAGCGTCGTAGCGCTTGGGGAGCACCCCTGGGAGTCGAAGACGGTGCATGGAATGAAATGTATCGGTGACCCAAGCTCAAAACCTTCCTTTACCTTCCACACGTCGAGATATATAGTCTTTGGACGTCCTAACGGGCGCAAGCAACGAGCTCGTACCGCCGAAGGAACACAGAAGGGGCGGAGCGGCGGCGGGCGTCAAAAGCTAGCTGCAGTGGGTTGACAAGTCCTTTCCGTGGGGAGTAGGGAGGGCAGCACGATGTTCAGTTATAGGATGTTACCGGTATAGTTGTCAGAAGGGTGGGTGGAGGCTCCAGTGGGTTGACAAGTCTTTCCATGGGGAGTAGGGGGCAGCACAATGTTCAGTTATAAGCTGTTATAGGTATAGTCGTTGTAAGAATGGTGGGTGGCAAACCCATGCGATCGCCTCGCTTTTCCTCTGCGCAGAAGCACACATCCTCTACGGTCCGGCGCTGACCCGAACTTGAATCTGGGTCACTCCCCTGCCACGAATAGGGACGAGCAGCATTCGATGTGTTTTTTACCTTTTTCAGTCACGGCGAGCAGGTTCACCCCGTGAGAAGTTGATGGGTATATCCGAACTCTCCAAATCCTTTGTAAGTGTGACATTGCACGGCCTTCTTGTGGAACCAAAGTCGATATATAGCCGCTTGAAACGCTGTTATCAGAACGGCGTTCCGTTTATGATGAACACCCTCATCCCCATGGATGGACACTGGAGCACACCGTTCCAATGGGAGGTTGTGCTGAAAGAGTTGGTGTGTCGGGCGCACCAACTTGAATCGATCCCAAAACTCTGTCAGGTAAGTTCGGATGCATCAAGTCCTGAAAGTTGCGCTGAGACTGGCAGGATCTTCAGCTTGTGAAGAGTGCTCCAGGTCAGACAGATTGGCCGGAATGTGTTGCAGGTGTGATAGCAGGAGTCTCTTTGCGGGTGTTGATTTTCCTGAAATGATACGATAGACATCATTGTTTCATATTAGATGTGGATTGTCTCAAGATATTTCATGGGTGATTCGGAACATACTATATGGCTGTGGCTTCTTGTTGGAGTTATAGCTTAGGTTATAAGTTCGATAACCTAGGTTATAAGTTCAATAAGTACGCTAAGTATTCGCCTCTACTTATAACTAATTTGGTGATCTTATAACTAACTTATTGGACTTATGCTTCTACTTAGTTCCTAGTTAAGGTTAACTTAGGTTCGAATTAGGTTGAACTTAAGACCGATTTTTTTGGAACTTTTTGAGTTGATTATGTTTTCTAATTTATATGGCTCAAGGGACCCGTTGCACGCCTATATATGAACGGCGAAAGGTGAGATAGGTTTTGTCCGTTCGAACTATGGCCAATCTGCAGGTCTGTCAAATCCTTCAAGTCTTGGTGGACAGACTTGATGGGGCGACAGGACACTTGCGAACGGAGCAGGTACAAGGCATTTGTGCCTGCGCAAAGTGGATGAGGTCTGAACTTGTTTGAACTTTTCTGAACTTTTCTTGGTGGAATTATT